AAATATATATATAAGTGTATTTAATTTATCCTATGGTTGAGTAGTGCAGTCATCATTATTTTCAACTCCGATTAGATAATAAAACAAATTCATAGATTAAACTGACTATATAACTATATAGAATAAACATCAACTACTAACGGTTAGATAAGATTTTATTTATAAAGAAAAAAATAATTAAATAGTATGGAAAATTGTATGAAAAATTTTATTGAACAAAAATAAAATACAAAAATTAACCACCTTTGTGCGGGCCATAAAAAATTGCTTCGCGGACCACATGTTGCCGACCCCTGCTATAGACAAAACAACAGATTGCGAAGGCCGCTACGTAGCACTCGTGATTATTAGAATTCTTGATAAAAATACGCCGGGTAAATTGTATTTATTGCACTCTGAAAAGTTAGATAAAGCGAATTACTTCACAATTAGTAAAGATTTTGATCAATCGATGTTTCTCTTATAGCCAGAAGGCATTTGTCATGATGATGTTCTTTTATTTGTTACTGATGTCGCCCCATATTTGATTAAAGTTTCCAATTCTTTAAAAGCGCTTTATTCAAAAATGGTGCACGTCATCTGTTTTGCACATGCATATCATAGGGTAGCGGAAACAATTAGTGGAAAATTCAATAATGTAGACAGACTTGTGTCAAACGTTAAAAAAGTATTTTTGAAAGCACCATCACGTTTAGAGATTTTTAAAACAGAAGCCTCTGGTATTCCTCTACCTCCGGTGCCTATAATAACACGTCGGGGAACATGGTTAGAGGTGGCATTTTATTAGGTACTCTGATAATTTTAAAACTAAACAAAATGTATTTTCAAAATTAAACTTAGATGACGCAGTTTCAATCGAAAAAAGTATTAGCATTATGGCTGAACCAAATTTAGGCCCAAACTTAACATTCATTCAGTCAAACTTTAGATGTTTACCAGTTAACATAACTAAATTAGAATCATCAGGATTAACTTTGTTTGAATCAATTAATGTTGTCAATAATACTAGAGAAACCCTCAAAATGACTAATGGAAAAGTGGGAAAAGAAATTTTCGACAAATTTCAGAACGTAATTGAAAAATAAAGGATTTAAAACTTTGGTACAAATTTCAAAAATACATTCCGTTGAAGTTGATACTATGGAAGGAATAGAAGAAGATTCGAAGGTTGAGGATTTTGCATTCTTCAAATATACTTCAATAACATCAGTTGATGTAGAACGAAGTTTTTCACGCAACAAAAATTTACTTTCCGATAACAGACGCAGTTACAAATTTGAGTACATTAAAAAAAACCATAGTAGCACAATGGAACGCTAATAATGTAATAGTTAATAAATAATAAATAATAATGTAAATTAATGTAAATAAAACGCTATGTAAATTTAAAAAATGTATTTTGAATCGTAGTAAAAAAAATAATATATAAAACATTTTTTATTTTTTTGTGCATATTTTGGAGTTTTTTTTGGCTAAAAATGCATATTTTATCATTTTTAGCGAATATTTTGATTGCATATTTCGTAATTTTTTAGTGCATAAATGCATGTATATTACAGTAGTTTTAAGTGCATAAACATCCGACCCCTAATTATTACCTACATCGAATTCATCACTACTGTATAATACACGTAGCGTTCGGCTTGCTAACAATATCATGTTAATATTGTAACATTTGGGTGAATATAACGTGATGAGTAAATTCTCTTAGTCTGCTGTGAGATTCATGAAATGTTTTACAAACATAATTTACAACGGTGTTCGCGTGAAGATAGTTTCTGTGAAACGATTAGAACATCGTTGCATCTGAATAATTACGATGTTTCGAAGCGACGAAAATAGCAAACCACCACTACTGCAATTTGAACTATTAGGTCTACCATTAGGTAAGGATTAGAAATAATCGGCCGGAGAGTATAATTATGTGTTGCTCAATCGGTTTATCGTTTTCATTGTGATATTAACAATTTACGAAAATCATTAACCGTGTACGCTATGATTATAGGCGTACATTCAGTCTAAAAATCGGGAATGCTAGAATTATTTATCTCAAAATAATCATAAACCTAACTAAATATTTTTTAGTTTTTCCATTTAATAATAAATTCCGACATAGAAAAAATGCACGATGTTGAAATCCAATTTTCAATAAACAATTTCTTAATAATAAAAATAAAAAACGCTTTCTATCTTTTAATATCATTTATAAATATTATACTCTAAGGAAAGAAGTAATACTCGTATAACAATAATATGATTTAATATTTTTATAGGTATACGGCTAAAATAAAAAAAATAAAATATTAAATAATGAGTAAAAAATAAATTATATTAAACCAATTCTTCATGTATTTATGCAAAAATGTGTGGATTATATTTTTATTATTTCAAACATCATTTGTTATTCATCTTTCTTGACTGTCTTCTCAATATCACATGCGTGATAGATAGGTAACATGATAAACTCAAATTCTCAATAATCTTCTGCATACATGCATACTTAAAACGTAGAGTAGTCCGAATAAATTCATTCCCATGAGTTCTCATTCTTAAAACAATTCTCTTTATACAATATGTATACCTAAAATAAAGAGTGTTAATTTAGTATTTGGCAGTGCTAAGCATCCCCTGGAACCCTTGTATGTGCACGCCAATGGTTATATGTCTGTTTCAGCTATCGATGGACAACGATGATCGGAAAAACAATTTAACCTGTTGTATTATATTATCATCGTACATCAAAGAGTAACAAATTTTTCAAACGCAAATGTGTCCATTGTTTTTAGGTGCACATTAACGAACAGTATAACGATACTGATAAAAATAATAAACAAAGAGCATGGTATTGTGTACCGTAATATGAATATTGACGAACGCTTGTTGTTGAATGTAATAATGTTTAATATAAATAACTATAAATAATTAACGGCCTAATCAATTTAATAGAATAACACTGAAAATTAGTATTCAAAAATGTAACATAAAAATGATTGTGGCATGTGTTTAAACAGTGTTTCATTTAATACCTCTGTCAACCTCTAATTGTGCCTATGTACAAATTATGTGATCACATGTATAATGGTAGTTTTTTCTCAATTTTTCTGTTTTATCTCATAATTTTTGTTTAAGGTATTCCATACATAAACGACACAAGGTTTTATAGAGCTGAACAGAGCAAACATAAAATTAATTTTTACAGTGGAATTGGCTTTTTGAAATATTATGTGATTCTATAAAACACTTTTTACACACACACTTTTCAAACAGCCCAGAACTTCCACGAAGTGTTTTTTTTTTTTTTTTTTATGGTTTTAGCTTTTATTAACAGATTACCAGATTACTTTATCGTGATGAAAGGAGGGGGGAAGATTATGATTGACAGATTTTGATCTTTTATAAAAAAAAAAAAAAAAAAACAGAATAAATTGTTAAAATCAATAAAGTAGAGTACATCTATATTTGTATTATTTTAACATGAACAGCTGAATTTTTAAGAACTCAAAGAGACTGGTTTTCATTATATTAAAGACATACGGATAGCACTAAACCCGATGGTTTTGTTTCTAATGGGAGTGGTAACATAGGTCCAACGTTTACTTTCATTTAATGCTATAAATAAGTAATATTACTAAAATCCCTTTAGTTCTTCTTCTTTTTCGTGTTTCTTCCAACTATTTGGGGTTGGTTATCTTTCTTCTAAACCTTCACTCGTCTCGATTTATCGATTTTATTCTATATTGTAATCGTATCTAACCGTATTTTTTTTTTTTTTTTGGTTTTCCTCTTCCTTTTTTTTCCTACGACGTTTATTACCACTCTTACTGCATTTGTTTCCTCACGCCTAATCACATGTCTAAACTATCCTCAGTCTATTTTCTCACATATAATCCACTGTCAATGCTACACCAATATTACATCTCACATATTCGTTCCCTATTGTAACTGCTCTTGTCACTTCACTCATTCATTAAAGCATTTTCATTTCCATAACTCTCATAATTTGTTCTATTCTACTGTTAACCACCCAACACTTCAAACCATATATTATGGTTGATTTCACTACATTCCAGAAAAATTGACCATTTCAGCTAAAATCCCTTAAATTGTAAGGTAAACATATAAACAATCAAAAGTTACGACAGTGAATCTTAGTAGATTTTTTCCTTTGTGCTGCTTTCGATCCTTTATACAAGTGATTCGTATTAACTGAACGTATTAATTAATTAACCTTACTAATCTGTAATCCCAACTATAATTGATAATCAGATTCTTACAAATCAGATTTTATCTATAAATCAAAAAACGGGATTCAACACATCGATCTGGATTTTGAATTTGTTCAATTGATATTGATTTTTAATTACATTCGTATATCATTTACTTACTCGGATTCAAAAAAATTGTTTGCCGGGCGGATTCACTTAAACAAAAGCTGAGGATCTTAGTAATCACTGCGCGTGGCTTTAACCCAGTTGTTCATCACGACCATGAACGGCGATCCATTGCTATCGGTAGAGTTTATGATTTTGATCGATCCGGCGGGAGAACGGAACACGTAGTGGCCGACGGATGGTTGTGGTTTCCGCGCAGTCATACGAGTTTCGAGTTCGTTCTACAACGTTCCGTGTCGTGCACGACGATAATCACCCGCTGATTGGCTGAACCGCGTGGTCACGTATACGTATACCATGTATGATGCGCCCGGGAAACGTTACGCGTTACAGATAAGACCGTTATCCACCACAAAGTTTGATCCCGTCCGGACGTTGGATATGCGGCGTCCACAATTAATCGTACGATAAAGTTATACACCGTTCATAATTAGAACTTCATAGTAGATGGAAAACACGTTCGTATCACACGTTTTGAAACGAACTCGCGGTACGGGTGGTGAACGCGCGTGGCGCGGTCACCGTCATGTTCGTGACCATCGCGGTGACCGCGGTCCCGGTCATCGGTTTTAAACCTATCTAATCCGACGCGTACGGTTCTGGTTGCAGGTAACCCGGACGGGCCGGTAGGAGAGTGAGCGCCCCCACCGTCATCATGTCCGACACGGCGGCCAATTGCGGTTACGGTAGCGGCGAAGAGACAGCCTCGCTGCTGGTGAAAAGCCCTCCGCCGGTGGTGCGGTCGACGGCCGCGCAGGGCACCGGCGGCGGTATATCGTCATCCGGCAAACCCGTGCTAACCAGACAGGACTGCACCACGTCGCTGATCCCATACCACTACCGGGACCTGCGGAACGCAACGCCCACACTGGGCAGCAGCGACGACAGTGGGCCACCAATCGACAGCGGCGTGAGCGCGGCCGCCAGGTCGGTGCCGGACATCGAGCTGCACTGCCGGTACCTGGCCGTCAACCGGTGCCAGTGCCAGCGGCGCAAGAGCCACTGCATCTCGCGTTCGGTGTCCCGCGAGAGCGTGCGCACGGCCGGCGGCGTGGGCGGCGTGTCCTCCGCTTCCGGTGTCCACGGTGGCGGTGGTGGTGGTGGTGGTGGTGGGGGCGGCGTCGGGTCCGCTTACGCGCTGTCACCGCCGCCGCCCGTGCTACTGACCACGTCGCCCAGCTCCCGCATCATCCGGCAGAGCTCGCAGCCCGAGGCCACCGGCAGCGTGTCCATGTGCTCCGGCCACTGCTGCCACATGCACCACCAGCCCAGCTCGTCGCTGCGCCAGCTCAGGGATCCGGCCGACAACATAGCGATGATCGCGGCCGATTCGCTGCGGATCAACGGCGCAATCAGACAATTCCGACAGGTTGGACCATACCACATAGATAATATCGTAGTACCGTACGGTCGGAACGAGTGCATAGATTATCGTAGCATTATCGGTACACAACGTGTTTATTATGTACCCACGACACGTGCCAGTTGTTTTTCCATTTTCCATTTATTTTTCATTTATTTATATATTATTATTATTATTATTTATTTATATATATTTTTTTTTATTTATATTCCCTTGCCCCCGCGCATATTTATTGTATTGTAATACTTAAACACGTACCACCTTATTTCGTTACGTACTTACCACCCATCCGTCTTGTTTTACACGTTGCGCCACTTGCCCACACGCGCGCGCGCACACGTACCTTCTACCGACCGCTCGAATTCATACCTATACTAAAAGTACCAGCAACACACCCACCTTTGCCGTATTGTTGCTTTGTCAGGTTTTTATTTTTCTTCTCGCTGCGATGCTTCACCGCCACACTGTAAGCTATCAACCGATCCCTTGCACCCAAGTAGAACACCACGTGATCAGAAAAACACCCGATTAGTTTGTACAGTATAGAATATCGTTTTACACGTTGGCCACTTATGATTTGACGCGATGAAAAAGTACATAAGACCTATCTACGTGATCCCAAAGGTTCACACGCAAAATCGATTAAAATGTTTAAGTTTTTTCAAAGTAGGTACATTTCAACAGTACATTAACGTTTCCGTCAATATGTTAATATCATGGTCTGCGATCGCGCCTATCCAACCGTTCGTGTTAGTAAAATACTTATGTTTCACATAAATATAATTTCCTGAAATAACAAAAATAATTCTTATCAGTTTTTGAGGTTATTTTTCTTCTTGTTTTCCCTTTTATGTTGATAACTCTATCATTAGACCATATCGAAGACTAAATTACACCGTAATATAATACGAAATAAACATATATGATTTAGCAAAAATAGATAACGTTAAATTATAGATAATTTTTTGAGTATTGATTTATACATATCAATTGTATATAGAATTATAATTTTTATACTTACGGCTACAACGAACGCAGTGAATAAAACAATAATGTTTAACTATGCTTATAAGTTATCTTACTTAATTTTATTTATAACTTTTAATTTGTACTATTCCATTTACTAAAAATACAACAATATTTTCTTCTTTTCAAAATCAATATTTTATACATAGGTACTAATAAAAAAAATAATTCAAATAGTGGAATGTACTATATTATTCATTACACAAATACCTACATTTAAAATACATTTTTGCATTCATATAGATTTCAAAGTACAACAAAAAATATTTTATTTGCTTTGTATAAATATATTAAATGAAATTATAGTTATGCATAAATCAATTTAAAATTGTTACGGAAACAATTAATAATATATTTTTATGTTTTTTCTGGTTTGGGAAAACGTTTTTCAAATTTCCATAGTAAAATTATATTTCTAAGAAATTCCCCATATGCTAACATTGCACAAAAAATAAATTATTTAGATTTACCTTACAAAGTCGAAGTTTATATTATACTACAACAACTAACGATATAGCAATTCAACAAGAAAAATATTTTTTTTTTTTTTTTAAGGTGGGAAAAAAAAATTATATATTTCCTATGGTTTAATTGCTTCTCTGTTATCAAATTATTCTTGATATCAATGACAAGTTTCTAAATCTATTTTATTTTCGTTCCCTCTTATAACCATATTATATTAGCTAAAATAAGATACTATTTGTAATCAATAAAACTTATATATAGATCCATATGATTTTCTATTAAGATTTAGATTAGTTTTTTAAATTGCATTAAAAAATACTCTAAACTTAGTACCAAGAATATATTATTATAATAATAATATTATGCCGGTGTTTTAGACGTATTAACGGCCAATTGATATGGGAATTTGTGTACCGAAAAAATGTTTAATATCACTTAACAATGCAATTTTGACCCATATAACAATACGTTTACAAATAATATTTCGAGAATCACTTTGAACTATAACGCACAAATCCCGACTATCAAATACGTCAGAGTCAACATTAGATAATAGTTGCCCACTGTTCGGTACTCAATAAAAATATATCACACTAAGTATCTAATTAAACCGTTGGAAAACGAGTGTCACTTCATGGGTGTGCATTACATACAACTATTATGTATACACTTGTTTGTTTAAATGTAAATCCCCTCGAGGACAAGTAAAACTTTGCATCTCGAATACCAATAATTCATAATCAACATTTGTAAACATACACTGTTCTAGGCGAAAACATAGGACTATATTATAGTGTTTGTGCTTACAGGCACGTCGAACAATCTGTTATATTTATAAGCATATAATCTTGTAATACATTTAAAGTACCTATGTCCCATACATAATTAATAAATTATTAAAATATAATTTTAATTATAGTTTGAACGTTCCTACTGTATTAAGATTTCGGTTTTTTAACTCTTTGAAGTAAGTCACTGAACTCATTTAATAATAAATAAAACGTTTGCGGTATTAGTTCAATGAATGAATAAGCATTTTGATATTTTATTCAATATTTGTACTTAGTTTATGAATAAATATCATGAAATCATAAGGAATCAAACATGACCTTTAATATCCAAATATTATTCTACTTGTTACTTAACTTATGTTGACACGATACATTTGTAATAAATGTATAACTATTTTAAAACCATGATAATTTATAATAAAACTTAAATTTCAATAAAAAACAATTTACATTATTAACACGTTACCACAACTTGTTTATTGAAACAAACTGTTATTTTTAGAAAAAACGATCATCCGATTCTATAAATACAATATTATACTACTCCAAAACAAATATAATAATTAATTATTGTTTCACTTTGGACATTGAACGTTTTATGTGATCAATTTAAAATTAAACTGCATTTATAATTATTTTTTTTTTCGTTGAAGAATTTTGGATACCTTAATGTAATGTAATTAAATTAATTTAATGCAATAAAATATACAAATATAAATAATAAATATCTAATTGAGTTTTCAAAAGCTTTAACCTAATATATTACACAACGATAACATTCGGTCATGATGTTCTGAAAGCAATATTGTACATTACTTTTTAAAATAGCTTAAAATGATTACCATTTTATAGTGGGTATTATATTGTTAAAACTTAATGTATTTAATTCTAGAAAATACTGTTAATTTACTCAAAATAAATAATAGTTTCACTTTTTCAGTGTAACTTAACTGTTACCAAATTTTCAAGTATTATTAATTATTATAATATTGAAGCTAGTTCAATATTGCAAGTAAAATATATGGAATCAATATTTTCGTACAACTATTCCAATGTACAATCTTATTTCGTTCTGAATCGTTAATTTGTCCACAAAAAGTAATTGGTCATTGAGTGTGAAAAATACTAGGTCTTGAAAAATATTGTATAAACGCGTATGTAGAAAAATATTATATTTTAAGAATATATTGCATTGCACGGAGTTTTTGGTACAGCTGAAATATATTAAAATGCCTTGACATCACCATCACGCTGTATAATGTACTGCGTCTACTATATACCATAGCTCTATTCCCAGGTGTGTATGAAGAACTGGGTATTTCGTTCACCAGAAACAGATGCTTGTACGTTATCTTATAGTATAAATATTTATGGTAGAAAATACGAATTTTTATTATTGTACTTGGACAAATAGACTTGAGTATACGGCAGTTTCTGTTACTCGACTATGGGAAATTCCATGTTTCTATTGTTTTTCGAAGACCATTATTTCAATATGAACCGATTATCCATTGTACCGTTAACAGTCAATGACTACAATTCTGATTGTCGGTCGCGTCTTATCACTTGGAAGCTTCAAAACTTTTTTTGGTTTCTGAACCAAATTGTATATGCCATTTTGTTGACGTTTATGTGTCAGAATTGGAACGGAGATAGTAAAAATATTTTTGATTGTCCGGATGAAGAAAACCATCTGGTATATTAAACTGTTTATACCACGAATTGAATTATATTCAATTAACTACGAAGATTGTAGAGTAATCCAGGTATAGAACTCTGAACCAGACCCGAACACTAGTTATGACGATTCAAATCTCACCGGAAATATCAAAAAAAATGTATAAAAAAATTACCTGACGAACAAATAGTTGAAATAGTTATTTAAATTTTTTTTCTACGTTCACCCCTGTTCTGAATAAAACGTTTGCAAAACAGATAATTTATTGTGATTTTTTTTTAAATATTTTGATTCATTATTTGTAACATGACTATAATAATATAATATACTAAGTTATTAAATCATATCAAAGATAAAATTAAAAAATATATTTTTCTGTTAGTTCAGCTTTGATATCGAAGAGTACCGATAGAATATGATTCCTCGTAAGATCGGTTAACAGTATCACAATAGCGTTTTATTTTTATTGCTACGAGTTTTATTGTCAATACACCCGAACAACAAAACAATACATAAAACATTTACTGATGACGTGATAAACTATATGATCTGAACGTAACTCAGGGGGTGTTAAAGATTTCCGAAATATCGAGTCATTCAGAGTTTGAAATAAAACTACCATGTACTGTTTGCGTTAGAATGTGAACAATAAGTGTACATTGGATGGTCACTATTTTGTTGGTTATTTTTTTAAAGAGATTTTATTTTGATCTGTCAATAATTTTACATAAAATTCATAAAAAAAAGTATATTGTTTTATTTATTTATTATTTATTTATTATAAAGTAACACCCTCGAAGGGTAATATGGTACAGTAAAATAAAATCATGAATACTACATATGTATAAAGTAATAACAATGTTTAAATCTAAGTACTAATAAAAAATAGAAATGTATACAATGTGATAAAGATAGATAATAATAATTCTGTAATAGATTAGATTTAGATAGGAGGAATATAATATTTGATTACATTGGTATAATAAGTAGGATTAGTAACTAATAAAGTATATGACTTCAATGACTTCAATTTGTTACTGTTGTCA